TGGACCAACACCAGCAGATGACTTTGCACCCCAAATCATCACAGACTGTGGAAACTTAACACTGGACTTCAAGCAACTTGGGCTATGAGCTTCTCCACCCTTCCTCCAGACTCTAGGACCTTGGTTTCCAAATGAAATACAAAACTTGCTCTCATCTGAAAAGAGGATTTTGGACCACTGGGCAACAGTCCAGTTCTTCTTCTGCTTAGCCCAGGTAAGACACCTCTGACGTTGTCTGTGGTTCAGGAGTGGTTTAACAAGAGGAATACGACAACTGTAGCCAAATTCCTTGACACGTCTGTGTGTGGTGGCTCTTGATGCCTTGACCCCAGCCTCAGTCCATTCCTTGTGAAGTTCACTCACATTCTTGAATCGATTTTGCTTGACAATTCTCATAAGGCTGCGGTTCTCTCGGTTGGTTGTGCATCTTTTTCTTCCACACTTTTTCCTTCCACTCAACTTTCTGTTAACATGCTTGGATACAGCACTCTGTGAACAGCCAGCTTCTTTGGCAATGAATGTTTGTTGCTTACCCTCCTTGTGAAGGGTGTCAATGATTGTCTTCTGGACAACTGTCAGATCAGCAGTCTTCCCCATGATTGTGTAGCCTAGTGAACCAAACTGAGAGACCATTTTGAAGGCTCAGGAAACCTTTGCAGGTGTTTTGAGTTGATTAGCTGATTGGCATGTCACCATATTCTAATTGGTTGAGATAGTGAATTGGTGGGTTTTTGTTAAATGTGAGCCAAAATCATCACAATTAAAAGAACCAAAGACTTAAACTACTTCAGTCTGTGTGCATTGAATTGATTTAATACACGAGTTTCACAATTTGAGTTGAATTACTGAAATAAATGAACTTTTCCACGACATTCTAATTTATTGAGATGCACCTGTACATATAAGAGAAAACACACTTGCTTATTTATATTAACTGTCTCAATGTTCATTTTCAGATGTTAAAAAAAGAGAAAGCAGAGGCCTTGCAGGAGGAGGTGGATGACCTGTTTATGCTGCCATCTGATCTCCCATCTTTGTAAATTTTTGTTTATTTTTATTTATATGATGTAAATAGTATGTATATTATTTAATCCACCTGGCATTATGTAAACTATATTGTGCCTACATGTCTGCCTGAAATAAAAATGGAAGTAACCTCTTTTTTAGTAGCATCTCTGTTACTCATTTCCATGATCATCATGTGTTATTTTGTGTCATAAATACTTTATAACCAGTCAGCCACAAAGGGGAAACAAATTCCAGCGCTGCCACTGATGTTGTGAGTTCCAGCCAATCAGTTAAGCTTTGCAAAAAAAAAGAAAAGAAAAAAGAATCCTCCTGAAGCCACGCCTGCAGTCACTAGCGTGAGATATTTGAACAAATTTGTCATGAGCAGGTCTAACAAGAAAGAAGGAAGTAGCTTTGACGTTGCCAAAAAACAACAACAACAACGAAAAAAGTAAATACAAATACATATTTCGCCAGTGTGTTTTGGATGAGCGCGTGAAACCGATGCCAGCAAAGCTTGAGTGAGGACACCGGCGGATTGAACAGATGAAGTCTGCGGCCACAGCATTTTCCACGATAGTAGCGCTTGCTTTGTTTTGCGCATTGTATGTCGGAGCCAAAACAGTCATATCTGTTGATGATGTTCAGTCCATACGTGTTGACCTGGATCTGTCCCATGTGGCCCGACGGGTGGACGAAAGGTTTCTCTCTGTGGCTATAGATGCGAGTTTAATCGCCGAGGAGAGGTTCATGAACCTACTGAAGTAAGTAACTTCTTTTAAAGCAGACCTCAAATGAGTAAAGGTGTGATGTAATTTTAAAAGAAGTGATATGATGTTTCTGCAGTTCACCAAAGTTAAGAACCCTTGCCAAAGCCTTGGTCCCAGCGTTTCTGCGATTTGGAGGTACCAAACAAGATTTTATGACATTCAATCCACGCGGAAGATATTTCCAAGCGAGAGACAACAGCAACAGCGCTGTTCTAGGTAACCTCTGTCACAAAGCTGACTGTGGTTTTTGTCATCTGACTTCAACAGCATGATTCCAGTTTTGCTTTAATGAGGGAACAATAAACTCATTCACATAAACACCCTGAACATACAGTGTACCTACATTGCCTGTTGTATCTAAAGATTGTAGTCACCCCCAAATTTATTTGGACACTCAATACTTTCATATTTCTGAGCAATTTTTGCAATGACTTTTAACCACATGGGTTCAATGTGATGAATTTAGTGGAAGCTATAGTACTCTCTCTCTCTCTCTCTCTCTCACACACACACACACACACACACACACACACGCACGCACTATATATATGCATGTATAGTGTGTTTTTTTTATATTATAATTATTTTTGGATTTATTTAATCGGCCACATCTACTGTTATTCTTACAGAAAAATTATGTGAGAGACTTGAATTGCCTCCATTGTTGGAAAATAGGTTAAAGCAAGAATGGGTCCTACAGTCAAAGACTTTACTTCAGGAGGAACTAGAGGGAAAATACAAAAGGTCAAAATTCTCTGGTAAGTTTAATTTAACTTCTTTAAAATTATTACTTAATAAGGAATTTATCGTGAGTTAGTACTTCAATTTTATTTATATAGCACATTTAAAAGCAACCATGGTGCTTAACAATATTAGAATACACAAACAAATAAACAAAACAAAACACAATAAAAATGACACGGTGTCAAAGCTCAATACAAAATGAAAGCTAAGGAATACAGATGGGTCAGATGGGCGACTTAAAAATGTCAGTAGTTCGAGCTGTTCTTATGTGAACAGGTAGACTATTCCAGAGATTAGGAGCAGCCACTGAAAAAGCTGGATCACCTTTATTTTTTAACCTGAATCTCAGAACGTCGAGGAGCAGCTGATTGGATGACCTCTGTGCTTTGAGAGGAGTGTGGACATGTAAAAGCTCTGATAAATAAGGCGGCACCAACCCATTTAAAATCTTAAAAACAAGCAGTAAAATCTTAAAATCAACCCTGAAACGGACAGGAAGCCAGTGGAGCGTGGCTAAAACTGGGGTAATGTGCTCACACTTTTGAGTCCCAGTTAGAAGATGAGCTGCTGCATTCTGGACTAACTGTAAGCAATGAAGAGATGACTGATCCAATCCAACGTATAAAGAGTTACAGTAGTCTAGTCGAGATGTAATAGCAATAGCAAAACAACATTCTTTCATAACTATGTAAATTTGTGTCAGATCTTGACAATTATAAGTTCTTCTAGCCCACATTTTTAAGTGTCAGAAAATGTAAAGCTATGTTTTTTATAAAGTGTTATATATATATATATATATATATATATATACACACATACAGTGGGTACAGAAAGTATTCAGACCCCCTTAAATTTTTCACTCTTTGTTATATTGCAGCCATTTGCTAAAATAATTTAAGTAAATTT